TAAAGATCGCGATCGACCCTACACAAAACTACCTCCATTTTGGCTTCCATGTCCCCGTTCGGCAAAAACAAAAAAATGCATTTTTACTATTTGTTTAATGAGTGCATTTTTGTTTAAAAATATCAAACAAGAACAAACACTAAGTAAAATAGGAATCAACTGCTTCGCTTTATTTGAGTAAGATGGAAACCATGCAAAAACAAATGTGAAACATTACTGTCTGCTCGAGGAGAAGACACTGGGGGTTGTGTGCAAAGAGATTGTTTACAAATTAGATCACATTGGAAGTGCTTTCAGTCAGCTCCAATGCATAAAATAGAAAATTTATATCTTGAATAAAACTGACAAACTTTGCTGTTGCTGTCGGGTGTCTGCCTTGTACATGGATTAAGTGTAGACGCGGGGATTCAGCTTTCCTTTTCTCTGCTCGTGGTGTCGCAATAGCGGTGAAGGTCAGTACTGGGTTGAACCGACAGTCATGGCCACTATATTTTGAATGATCATAAATAATTTTTGAACTGTGATTATATAAATTTCTTGCAAGGACTGGAACGATACTGAAAAAAAATCATTGATTTCCTTCTATATTCATGCTTGAAAGTAGGCCGAAGTATCTGCAGGTGAATACAAGTATCCAGATAATAAGTTAGGATCGATCAGTTCACACGAATTGTTCTGTTCTGATTCATCATTGCAAAACAATGGCCTGAAAACGGACCAGCTTGAGGGAAACAGTATCGTGGAAAGAAAGAACAGTATCGGACCAGATACCCTTAAAAGACCTGATGAGAGCACTGCAGAATCGCATGCGAAATGAAAGTTACGCGGCTATTGTCTAAGCGACGCGGGCCGAGGAGAACACTGTACATGTAACCAGCACATTTACGAATCAAGATTGGCAGAAAGTTGTACGGCATCTGTCTTTGATTATTTCTATTGATGAATATGACGCACAAAGTGAAATTGAACTTGCATTCATGAAAATCGGGGAGGGTAATGCTTTTTCGTCAAACTGAAAAAAATGGCCGCGTCACTCTTGTAACTCGCTGTATCTGCTCAAATAACATCCATCATGATATAATAAATCATTATATACTAAAATTCGCAATTTTGCAGACCTTCCAATGAAAAATTACCAGTTTTTTTTTTTTGCGACACAATACGTTATTGCAACATGCAAATTAGGCTACTCACCATAGTCAAATATTTGTTAAGAAACTTTAAAGACTCTAAGTTATAAATTAATTAATGCAATAATTGACTAATTAATATGCATGGAATTGCACCAAAATCTAATCAGCGCATCTACTCATCATATATTAGCTGTGTGCCAAATTTCATTTGAATTGAAATCGTAGATCTTGAGTTATCAGTGGAACAAATTTTAGTCACAGAGTCACAGACACTGGTACCACATAAGCTCCGTTTCACGGGAGCTAACAAGCAGCCTGTCGGCTGAGATAGCTCCGCTGTTAGCAATGCACATTACAATTAAAGAACAGAAAGATATCATCATGAAATGAGCAAACCTGAGAGAGGTCTACCCAAGGTACATATACACCAAGTATCAAAGCATTCAGGCTTGTAGTTTTCAAGAAGAAGTTGAAAATATAAAACATTGACACAGACGACGACAGACGGACAATCACTCATATGATAAGCTCCACTCGACAAAGTCGACAGCGGAACTGAAAAAAGGTCACCAGACCAAGAGTCCAAAATCTCATGAAAATGGTGAAAACTGACTTTTTCACACAAGTTTCTATGGTGAGATTATTTCTTCATTAGTGTAAATCATATATTATTATTAATACAAATTTTAATAGTGCTAAAACATTTCAAAAATATGACATAATTAGGTGAGTGTGAAGTTCTCTCTGATAATTTATTGCAATATGTGCATTGATATGCTCAATAATGCATATTTTAAATCGGCTCAAATTGCTATAAATTCAGTAATTATACAAAGTAGATAAAAAAATTGTTATATGCAACTAGTGCTAATAGTTTAAATGGTTTATATACTAGTAGTGTAATTTGTAACAGAAATCATATTCTAAGATTTGGAATAGCATGACAGGGCTGTGAGACAATTTTTTAGGAGACACGATTTACTGATGATCACTGAAGTTGCTATGATGACTGACACAAATACCATTTGATTATGAATACTGTAAAACCCTTTGCCATTTTAGCAAATTTAAATTAGAAACATCTTTAGAAATTGCAGATTAGCTAACTCAGTTAAAATAAAATGCTAGCTAAAAAAGACCATGTTTTACAGTATGTATGAAGGCATGATACCATAACTTACACTGAAAGCATCTACTTCCCTTTGTGGTAATAACAGGAGTCATGTATGCCTTAGAGCATTGGGAAAACACATAATTATTGGCCTTGCTACCATCAGTGGATTTAGAATACATCAAATAATTTCCATACTCCCCACCTGGTGAACATACTCTGTTTTTTGGATCATGCTGAAAATAAGTCATAACTATTATATTAATAAATGTATACAAATATGTTATTCATCAGTTTTCACCAATAAAGAAATGTGAATCCCCTCAGTACTAAGTTGAAGAAGCTTATATCTGCTGCACCTCCAGTTAAATAAGTTGAAAGGTTTTGGGTTTTTTTAAGTTGAAAAGTTTAGTCTCCCTATCAACTATTAAAACAAAAATGTTGATAATGGACCATTTCAGTTTATATGGATTTCCATTATCAAATATAAAATTTTGAACTTGGTAAATTAGCATATGATGAGAGTTATATTTGGAAATCCTACTCTGTATGGTTGCACAATGGAACTCATTAACACCATAAGTACCGGGTAGGAACTATAGTTTTGGATTTCCATTACTGTATGGTGAATGGTGATTTGGAAATAAAACTTTGTATGACTTATACACCCATGGAAATTTTACCCTGTATGAATTAAACACACAAGCTCATCAACTGGAATGATATAAACTGGAATGGCCCAATGTTGCATTTACTTATTAAAAAGTATAGATGCTACTAGTAAAAACTATAGTACTGAAAATAGTTTAGGACAGTAACACAAACATAAAATATTACGTTTAAGTCCAAAGATGAGGGGAAAGTAATAATTTGTTCTATTATCTATGCTTCAATAAAAAACAAGCCATGCATGGCAGTCACTGTTAGTTATCAAATTTAAGATACATGTATATAGTTTTGTTTCAAGTAAAATAGTTGAACATAAACATGTCAGAGATATGGATCCAGAAACTGATCCTTGATTATGATAATTTAACATTAAAATGACTTTCATTTAGTCATCTTGCATCTGATTGTCAAGCGAGTGCTTGTCTATATTGAGAGATATTGCTCTTGAATTAATTAAAACAAAATGGCCACTGATCGGCCATTTTGAATTGAATAGACAAACAAATATATCTGTACATCTATGACATGATGTATAATGAATATATAAAATTTTAACTTAATCAGAAAAACATGTTAGAGATATGGCACTAGAACCGCATTCACTAAAAAAAAATGACTATCAATAATCAAAATGACGTGCATCAGGAACCAATAATGTCCAACACATGTACAGAGTTCCAAAAAAATCCATCTGTAAACAACAGAGATCCAGTTCCTGAATGCCACAATTGCTTGATTTTGATGATTATCCAGCACAAAAATGGCCGCCAATCGGCCAGCGTGAATCAGATAGTGAAACAAATTGATGTTCATATGTATACCGGATTCTGCCGTAAATTCACCCATGCAAAAAAATTGCCCTGCCAGCGGGCGGTTTCACGGCTGGTGGGCCCTTATTTGGGGTTCAAGTTTTCAAAAATTTATCATCAAATATTTTTAGGGGGCTTATATTTTTATTGAAAAATCCACCTACATCGATTTTCCACGCACGAAAGAAACTATTGCAGAAGCTAATCTAAAATTTTTTACATTTTTTTCTTGCTGGATTAAAAAGTAGACCGCGCATCTTTCTAAAAAAAAAATCACATTAACGAACCTTGTGCGCCAAATACAATTATTGGGTTTAATTTTATAAGTAACGAAAGTATATTCTAAAAGAAGTTTCAAATACAAACGAACCCAACTGCATTGCAAATAGTAGCAAATGATCGCGGTAGCGCAATCCAGTCATGCTGCATTTCACAATTGTTAATTATTACCTAGTAATGATTATAATAATGTGCAAAAAATAAATACATTGAATTGTTATGAAATGCAAATAAATTTCAACTTATTTCATCATAAGCGAATGACGGTTTTCTTTGACCTGACAGGTCAAATCGATAATTAACCAATGAAAACGATGGATGATGCCAACGTGTTCAAAATACCATAGCTCATTTAAATATGTTAATGTTACTGAACACCAGCACGGAAGAGATTTGTCGATGTTGTACGATCTTTTGGCTTGGGTTTTTATGGGAAAGCGGCATGATTTGTTTTTAAATAAAAAAAATAGTTGTTTTCAAAAGATAAACTGAGCATTTGAAGAAGAATTTAACATTGTTTACAGCGATAACAGCTCATTGTCGAAATGAAGCTAACCCATTCATGCTAGTCTGTAGTAGTCACAATAAACATCAATATTCTTGAATAGGCGTCAATGACTACGGCAAAACTTTTAGTCATCAGAAAAGATTAAAATAACACCTTAAAAAACTGCCGAAAAATTGCCCTGGGCGGTTTCTTGGTCCCAATTTATTTTTTTAAAAACCCGAACTACCGTTTAACGGCCCTGGGCAAATTTACGGCAGAATCCGGTAATACCCATTATTATGCATGATATATGTGTGAAGTTTGAATGTAATCAGTCCAGGCATGACTTATAGGTGGACACACACACAGGTCAATCCATAAGTCCTCGTTTTCAGACTGCGCCCGAATAGGGACTAAAAAAAGTTGTGCATATAGCAAATTATTACCGGTGAACCAAAACTATGTCCCAATTCATGCATGACAGAGATAGTTGTAACTTTTCTTGGTACCCTGGTACCATAGTTATATAATGTTACCATTGCTGTATTCATACTCCGCTGTTTTCCATCACTCATGAGAGTCACTCTGTACTGACATACTCCTTGTAGAAAAGAAAAAAAGATAAAGTCTGTTAGTCGAATGCGCCAGAGTGTAAATTACATTCTTGCTTGTCAATGAGATTTATAGGAAATGTGTCAAAAGTTTGTAGTTCGAAGTTCAAAGTTAGAACAATGTGACAGCTGGTTACTATAGGTGTGCATTACTGTTTTTGTGTATTTTGCATAATTGTTAATACATACCTCCAGGGGGACCTAGCCATGTTGAATATCCAATCCAGGCAAGACCCAAAACACCGCCACCAAAATCACGATAAGAAAACAGTATTGCCATACAATATCTATTAAAATTATACTCTGAGAACTTGTTCAAGTACTCTGCTGCAGGAATGTTATTTTCTGTAAATTTGTAGTTTGGATCATAGATATCCTCAAATACTGTTACCCCAGCAATTGAAAATCCTATATTGTCTCCTATAAAGCGATCAAACAAAAAAAATACGGTAGTCCATTTTACTTCAGTTACATTAAAGTATAGAAAATGAATGATTTGTTCTATCAGGTATTATTACAACAAACCTATGAATGGCACAATATATAGATCAGTACTACTGTAAAACATATTTATGCATGTTGTTAAATGAATAATTTTATAATAGTAAAAATTTGGTACTTGTTCATGTTGCCAGTAATATGTATCTATGTGAATACCAGTTTACCCATCAAAGGGTTATCCATTAGCAAACAATACTGTTTCCCGGTTAAGCTCACTTGATCGAGACCCCCATCGATCTTAAATTATTAAGAAGAAAATAGATTCAAACCACCTCTAGGGAATCCAGTTTGGATTACCCACCATTGAATTTGAGCTTGATGACACCCCTGGATGCTAAAATCTAAACCACAGTCGAATCAACATAAATGCTCGGTAATGTTCGACTGTTTGAAAACAACTTTTGATTGTAATATATTAAGAATGACAATGATGCTAGGGAGTCTGTAGTTTTTTGGTAGTATGGTCTGGAATAAAGCTTGGATGTGGCCACACGTGTTGTACAGGTGTCTGTCTTTATTGGCTTACAAACATTACATTGACCAGGTTATTCTATTAATTGTGTTGCATATCGTTTATGGCACATACTACTTCATAACAAGATTTATAAGATTGGTACTTGAATTAACTTGGTTCATTGACTATAAACCACATGTACACTGTAAGTATATTAAAATGCCTTACCTACACCATCACCATTGAAATCTGTACTTCTGTATACATTATCAACTTCCTGTATATAGTACGCCATTTCAGCCAGTGTGGTAGCTGCATTGTTATCTCCAACGTGCTTATAAAATGTATGGTCAGCAACAAGATACAGTGGACATGTAACTACAGTAGATGGCATAGATCTTTTCCTTCTGCTGGATTTACTGGTGTCTGAATCATCATGTATATTTGCATCTCTTGAATAAATATTTTGTCCTGTACTATGATTGTTGTGAATATTATTTTCCTTACTTTTTTCATGCTGACGACTAACACTATTTGTTTCATTCCTGATTCTCTTAAATAACTTATTCTGGGTAGCGTTTTTCAATAATTCTTTTAACTGTGATTGTTTGTAAACCGATAATTTGATGTTTTTATTTCTTGGCCACTGATGCATATTATTACTGTCAGAATTCTGCCATGCTGATGTTTGTATTTTGTTTAACTTTTTCTCAATTTCTCCTCTCAGACCACACCCATGTTCATGATCAGTGTCATTCCAGTGCACATCACTTCCCTTAAAAATAATAGATTGAAAAGCTTGTGACTGGTTGAAGTGTTGCTTAGCTGGTTCAACATGAAAATGTTCTTCCTGTGTTTTTATAACACCATTAAATACGCCAGCTTGTAAATGCCCATGAACAACTGATGTTGTAGGTTCATCTAACAGCAAAAACAGAATAAAGGGATTTAATTAAAACCATATTACAAAGCGTGTTCTTGAGCCACATGTCTGACACACTTTGCATGAATGCATTCAATCTTTATACATGCATTATTCATAATGTACAATAGATGCAAAAAACATCAGATGAACATCCACAAACACCAAGGTACCAATGTACCCTCTAAGCCTATATGACCTACCACTAATGCAAAAAGATTTGCTGTGTTGCAACTACTTGTGCTAATTAATTCACTTGCTTGTCATTGGTATAGAGATTTTGAAAAACAACATACTATAGTTATGAAATTTGTAATTTGATAAAATGAAATTTACACTTATAAACAAAATAAGTTAAAAAAACAAAAGAAATCATAGGCCCCAACAATTTTGTTTGTGTCTACCTACACAGTCACATATAATTTCATTTTTTTTTTAACACCAACTTCCCCAGCAGTCAACAAGCTGACTCAAACCTAATTTTGGAGATTTCTTTTGTGACTCCGGAATTCCTACAAAAATAAGGGCACACTGATAGGTTCCCAAACCAGCATAATAAACTGGGAAGTCTATAAAATGACTTCAACGAGCATTGCTTAACACAATGTTGTTGAGATACAACATGGGCAGCATTTGTCAATGACATGTTAGTCTTGAAGCCAAATACATGTAGGTTCCCTAGGGCTAAGCCTGCCATTGTCTAGAACCAAACACTGAGGTCGATATGCATGATGACACGTCATCGATGGGAAATTTTGCTAATTCGTGTAAATCCAAAATGACCACCATAATACCATAGAATGTCACATCTCTACCTCTGAAAAGTAACATTCATGTTTAAAGGTATTGGAAAGTACATCAAACCAATCGTGTGATCATTTGCCGTACATTTACTAATTACCGTATTCGCAATTTATAGATCAGTTTATTCTATTGTTTTCTTAGCTAGATGTATAATAATACTTTATACACAGACATATTTTGTTGATCCTCTTTAATTTAACTTATTTATAAGCTTTGGCAGATGACGAATGTAGTTGGAATGTGCAAGTGCTCACCTTCTAATATACCCTTGTAAACACCCAATTGTTTTGAACTGATAATTTGGGTTTTGTTGCTGCCTTTTCCAATAATAGATAAAGTGGCCCCAGGTGAAAAAATACCACTGTTTGCTGATAACAGCAGCTTGAATTCTCTGAAAAACAAAACAATTATCCTAAATACTAATGACTGTGACAATAACGATGTATTTTTAGGCTTATACATGTATTACTAGTTGTAAGAAATAACAGTCTTCAATATCAAAATTACATTGCTATGCATGGATACATAGAAAGGGATGTGTTGATCTAATACCCTATAATTTACATGTAGATTGCATGTTATATTATGAAGTACCGGTACAGCCACAACATACAACGTATACTGATATACTTTTGAAATCACCTACTGAGAGTTTGATTTGGGAGCAGCCTATGCCATGGCAGAGTGTGCTTTGGCCTGAAGTTGCAATCTCAGAACATTCACAGCTTTATAGGGAACCTTTATTGCATGAAATATTTGATGGTCTGAATTTACGCAAACATTGTGGAAAAAAATAAAACATAAAAATTTCAATGCTTTTAAGTACGTCTGAATGCTGGTGCTAGCTTCCCACTCGGCCGTGCGTACCTTGATTCACAATGATTCATTTCTGTTCTGAGCCATTCAATAAGGGGCAGTCTATCATTACAACCAACGCCTAGAAACACAGGTCGTTTAATTTTGGGGAAGGGTAAAAGTTAATTTTGTATTGCATGTGTCATAATTGCAATACGATACTATGCAAACAGACATGTTCATGTGTCATAGTCATCACATATCTATAACACTAACATGTATTTAGGTTCTGAAGATGATAAATAAGTAGGGAGCTTGACATGATGAATGCCATAAGTTGGAAAAACACAGCAGAAAAGTTCATTTCTGCTACGGAGAAGCCTAAAAAGAGATATTTTTGATCTTTTCACAAGGATTTTCTTGGAAAGTATGTTGGATATTTGAACACAGCAATTTATACCACTAAACATGTAACATGCCCTGGCATATTTACCCCAGTCTAATTACATGTTTTTTTCCTTTAAGGTTGTGTACCAGACTTCGAGTTGAGTGGCCTTCCCAGAGTTTGCAGCTAGCTGACATTTGTTTGAATATATGTTGAAAAGACAAAACAAACTCTTCTGAGTCTGACTGCTTTTAAACTTACCTACTGAAAGCAGTGAATTGCACTTTTATCACGGAATCCCTTGCTGTGTCTCTCTTGTGTCGCGCCAGATTGGATGGGGTATGTATGTTCTTGTAGTTGACAGGTTCATAGTATTTTATGTAAGGTTGAATTCTATTGTTATCTGTATGAATATAATATGATAAAAGTATTACATATTTTCAATGTCTACGAAAGGAGCCTTGACTGTTGCAGCAACTTTTCAACACTGCCTGGGAATGATGGCCAGTTTATCGTATTAGCCATGCGCAAATATATACACAAAATTGATGGTCTCAGATTCGGATTCAAGTTACTAGTATTTTCCTTGTTAGGGTTAACATAAACTAAAAGTAATGTTTCTAATTTTGGAATGCTTTAGAAGGAAAAACACGCCCGAGGCGCATAGTTCAAAATGATGCGCGCGGAAACGAGAAACAGAGATATTTTTTTTCTCAGCTTTAGTCATTGATTTTTTTTTCCATACTCAAAAATCAGAATTCTAGTATCATCATTATTTATATGCTTAAAACGGGAAGGTCGTCACCTGCGCACGCACGGGAATTGAGTTCCAAGCGACGATAACAACACACGCTAAAAACACAAAGGCTCATGGGTAGACGCTTGTTTGTAAACAATGACACGCTATGGCCATCTGACGCATGCGCAGATGACGACTCTCCCGCTTTAATACTACACACCATCACTATTAATGATTGTTTTAGCTTATTGTTATTAATTTGTACCAAACGCCAGTGGTTTGACCACAAAAAACTGCAGTGTTTTTGGTTTGTTGAGTATATATTGATTAGTTTTGATGTAGTTAATAATTGTCATCTCTCATATTCTAGATACCTGGACAGTTAGTAGATTATAATAATTTATAACAATATAGAGTGTTACTAATGGTAACAAGAGTGTTCTCCCTCTCAATATTGTAATTTTCAACGTTGTTTTGTTTGGAGTCATGAAGTGAAGCAGATAAACATAGCAACAATATCTCGCCGACAATTTGACGTAACGTACACATCCTCATCACGCGCCTGTGACGGTGGATGTTACACATCATCCTAGGCTGGCGATTGTGTATCGTCTGTAACGTAAGCCGTAACGTAGAGCCGGTGACGGTACTGCTATTTATGTAAAATAAACCCAACATGAACACGGTTCGCTCGTTTACTAACCTTGTGACTTCACTACACTGCAGAACAGGAGCAGGACTGTGTACAGGGAAATGTCGCAAACAAAACTATGGTTTGAAGTGCGGAAAAGCATAGTTATTAATGAAGTAATATGACAGACGACTAACACAAAACAAAATCGAAGGTAGTGACCGGTGTCAAGGACGAAATTTTGTGCATAAGTAGAATAATTTTTGGATCCAAAGCTATCCAACAACTGTTGCTCAATATTGTAACACTCTGTACGATACTAGAGTAGAGCAATACATGAAAACCGTCGATATTTGAGCAATCATCTGTTTGCTTTGGTTTTAAAAATCATATCACAAGTGCACGCATGCGCATCTCGGTTACCCAGAATCCAGTGCAAAAAGATTAACTTGTACAAAAATAACTGAGGTGAGGGCGGTAATCTACGTTTTCTGTCAAACTCAACGGGTTTGTGAATAGAGGATAGGTGTAACGGATTCCATATTTTCACCCAAAATTGCATTGATAATTTCAAAAAGCCACTAAAAGTAAGAAAGTAAACCGTTCCTGTACAGACAGGTGACTTATTAGTAAAACAGGAACTAAAAGGCCCACAAAACGGCCGTTTTTCCGCTAAGACTAGCCACTAAAATAATAGCTACAAGTCATTGTTAATGACAGACCCCGTCCAAAATTTTGTGATCTGACATATCAATTGGATGCTGATGAAGTCATTGAGATTACATTGAAACCATTAATAGGAGATGGATTTGTAAAAAAATTGTGATTTAGTGCTTTTACACGAGAATTTATTGGTATACTGTCTTTGTACAAAATTTAAACAGAAATGTTCATTGCACTCATAGGAAAATAGGCAGGAGTATCATGAAAAACAAAATGGCCACCAGTCAGCCATATTAGTTTGAATCACAAGAAAAATATGACATGCAACTATAACCCAATATGTATGATCAACATACCAACTTTGATCCAAATTAGCCTAGTCATATCTGAGAAACAGCTCCGGACATGTAAAATGACGATTTATAGTTTTTTTACATGACTAAAAATAAGACAGGGTGGATTTTCATGTACTTTCAGTAAGCTTTCCTATAAATCGCGCCCTCTAGTGACAAAGCATCTCGATGACATGAATGGGAGACACGAATGACGTTCAAAGCATTGATACCACAGGTAGTCAATGAACGTTATGTTTTTGAAAGATTTCATTATGTTCTAGGTGAAAAATGACTACAAAACCAATTACTGCCTTCACCCATGTCCTTTTGACATCATTGAAGTAGAGGGCGCAATTTATTTATTATCATCAGTAATAACCCAGGATAATGTATTTGATCATTTACTTTTGATGTGTTTTGTGTACAATATATTTAAAAGGTTGAGTAGCAACTAATTGTTCCAAAAATCTAGTGCTCACAAACATAAGAAATTGACTTTTTTTTTAATAAATAAGATGGATCACCTACTTTTCAGTACTAATATGTTGTTACATACTATAATAGACTATAGGTGTTTGTACAAATCCATGCAGGCTGGGGAAGCAGTTCACTGCAGTGACTATCCATATGCAATATTAAGTATCAGTATCCTTTAAAACATTCATAGCCACAGCACAGGGGCAACCATTTAAAATGGGAGTGGCTGGAATAATCTCAAGGGCATTTTTTTTATTCATGGTATCTCGTCTGTGTTGAATGTGCCAACCATATTTTCTCTACAACACCTCACACGCATCTTTTTCTCTTAGTGTCTAGCCAGCATGTCCAACCAGCCTTACGATTTCAAATGGTGAACCCTAATAACATTACCGTCACCTTCATCATTTTATGTTAAACCGCGGGTCTGGGTGTATAAAAGGAAAGATGGCCGCCACTTTTCAGTATGCAAATGACACTCAAGCGTGAAACATCTCTTCGGGGTGCTCCGCAAAATCACTCTTTTCGGCAATCTTAACGCCTGTGGTGCTTTATTTTCATGTCGTACACAAACATGAATATGTCCGCGATACAACTGCGATGTTAATTTACGAGTTCGGTGCGATGTCAGTGCGATTTCCGCGTAAAAGCGACGGAAAAGCATGATTCAAACAGTCGTTTTGACTGCTCAAACTGGCTGTCAGTCATGGGTTTATGTAAATGTAAGGTGTTAGTCCCGAGTTGTTTGTTCAATCTCTAGGTATGTTTATGTAATTACGGAGTTGATCATGTAAGTGATATCGTGGAGCTAATAAGAATTACTGAATTACATGTGTTGAAATTGGACTAAAATAATATGTTGACCCACGACCTGTATCATACTGCCCATCAGACTACGATTCGGTGTTATAAAACATATCAATACTCAATAACAACCCACATAAATGATCATGTTGCACTTCAGTTTATTTACTTAACAAAAGTGAAATAAATAGGGCCTGAAAACAACCATTACACACAAAGTAAAATTTCTTCCTCCAATTATTACAACCATGTTTCACATACATATTTTATAACAATTCACAAATACAGAAATAATGTGCATCTACTGCTTTTCATATCACAGAAACAAACCAAAAAAAAAAGAGGGGTTAGATTTGTCGACTACTGAAAGAGCGTAGCACGAGTGTAAAGACCGCTTCATATGCAAAACTGTGTATAGTTGTTATAAGGAAATCACTGTTTTGGCAGTCACTGAGCCAGATATAACTATAGTGGTGTGCTCCCAACTGTTTCTAATTTGTTCTAGTAATGACCATTTTCCGTACACTGCGAGAATCACGCGTTATGCGTGAAATCGAACGTAAAAACAGGACAAACAAAGGTCATAGCGTCGTAGTCGCGTCAAACATCGCGTGGGATTCGACAAACGCGAAAGTATTTCGGGGACATTTCCATGCTTAATAATGTGCTGTCCACATTTGATGATAGGCAATTTCGATTAAGTGGGGGTATTCGGAAGCAATATTCCTCTGTCGACGATCGGCCGGTCAATGTAAGCTACGAAATTAATAAATTCTAGTTCAAAATCAAATCGGTCTATTTTTGCGGCAGACGTTCGACGCGCGTCTTTCATGCATCTCGCGAGATCTCGCAATTGTTTGGAAAATCACCAATTGTCATTGGTAACGAGGCTCGTCACAATAATACACCTATCCACAGCTCTGTGATAAAGGCGAAGGAGTGCGGGCTGAATAGGAGAATTTGACATATGTTACTTTGCATATCGAATTCCACCAAACAAGGGTTATTCTCCTACACAGGCAAATAAACGCTCTATGAATCCCAACTATAGAACACCATTTTGTAGCCAATTTCCCCCCTGTAGCCTCGCACTGGTGTGAAAGTAAACATCATAAACCAGTCGTAAACTATGTGGTTGATAACAAAACAAATCATGAACACTTCACAACTGTTTAAAAGTCTATCGCCTGGTCTGCTCTCACAGATCAAGTTAAAGTTCTAAGCTAACAACTAGATATGACAAGAAACTCGAATACTCAAAAATACTAGAATGAATGTTACATACTTTTTTTAGTTGCAAACATATAAAAATAGTTGTCTAAGTCGTCACAATAAATTGCTACTGGAAATACCAATTTCATCATATGCATTTCAAACAAATATAAACAGCTTGATAGCAATAAATTACATCTAGAATGAAAAACTGTTACATAGGATGGGCATTAACATTGTTTTTTTTTTTTCTTTTGAAAATGTACTTAAAGGCTGCCATCTTGTCATGTTCGATACAGTTTCAACGCGACATATTACACATGCAGGAAATACACTGTCTTACACAAACGAACTGATACAGCATGACGACCACAGGCTTTTAAATGAATTGAATGAACGTAAGCCTAAACTTGGGCAACCACACAGCTTTAGTCAATATACTACAGAAGATATTTCATGTAATTTGTTTTATAAAAAAAACTGCTGGAATACCAATCCCTTGTAAATTTCTCGTATAAAACTCTGCACAAACCAATGCAATACTGCAACCCACTAACATTTGCAATTTCAAAATTTGAGAGCAATTATGATAATCAATTTTCTCAACCTTTTCACCACCAGACTTTCTCACCCACATTTTTCTTATATATTTTTAAAAATTTCTAGTAATGAATCCTAATTTTGGAGCCAACTGACAAAATTAGAGTCAATTCTTTTTTAGTTTTTACAAAAAAAGTTTGGTAATTTTTATTCCAATCTTCTGAAGGAAAGTGCAGACTATAAACAGGACTATTTTGTGAATTTGTGATGAAAAGAGGGAACTGGTGGTGAAAAGGGCAAAGTCGCAGACTCGTTTGGTGCACAATGATAGCAACCACGACTCCCTCGAACCAATGAAATCGCAGAGTCCCAGTTATTACCCAAGTGCAAACTGAATTCCTACAGTATCTCCTAACACACCTCTAAAAAAAAATCTTAAAAATTGTCTGCTTCAAAATGAACAATCAAAAATACAACTACTGGTACAGCTCAGATATTCTACTCTATTTGCCATAAGATGAACATCTCTTCTGAACACCCAATGCAAACCAAACAGTTTAATGCTAACATATCCTTACATAGATATATGCAATTCTTAGATATGGCGTTTCTGTTATGAAAAATTACAACAAAGGTCTCTAAGAAAATGTTATGTTATCACATTTCAATATATTACCTTTAGCATACCCATCTGAAGAGATTGACCATAGTGTCAACAATAATTCTAATAAACAGGCGAGAGTCATTAGATGTATAGTTAACCTTGTGATTCACACACAAAACTGTTTCAACATGTGCCCAATGTATGCATACTACACTATCGCAATTACAGCTTATGAAATCCAACCCAACTAATCCAACACACAATGGTATGACTTTAGTGAAAGCATGTCAACTTTTGTAGTCCCCAAATGGATACAATTCCAGTCAGTCAACTGGGCTTAATGTTCAATGCGCAGCAAACATTTTAAATGCAAATTAAATACAGTTTAATTTTTGCTTCTAGGAATTGGCCAAATTTGCAGATTTCATGGCATTCGAGAAGACAAAATGTTGCGAACATCAATGACATAAAGTGTTGAAGGACACAAGGGAAATTTTCGCTGAAGGAATGATTCAGTGAAAATAAAATTCAGCGAACATACCTTTTTTTTTTCTACATCTTACATTAAAATCGATGAAAATTAAATAAAGTATTGTACAGTATACTTAATGTTATACCTGGCATACCATGATAGGGGAAGGTAATGTTCCATTATCTTTTATGCCATGAGCGACTGAACCAGATTAATCAAATAATAAAATGTGAAAATTTGAGAAAGTAGAAATATGGACCACATATAAAGGTACCACAATATGTTTGTAACTTTAGTTTCTACCTGTCAATCCATTAATCACTCAGGTACGTCTGCACTGTGAATAACACATTGATAGAATTATTTTAATTCAGACATATTTAAACACTACACGTTCATGGAATACAGCAAGTAAACATTATAGCCAGTCTTAAACAAAACAATTCCATCCAAAGCTTAGTAAGAGTGCAGTATTATGGTTTCCCAGAGTTAGAAAATACACGCGATATACAGTATCGCAGGATTTACGAACCCTAAAAATACCAGCAATCAAGCAACGGCAGACATTGCTCATCATGTATACGGTACTCATACGAACATCAGTTTATGAACGAAAAGTGTCAACCAAATAATCACTGTTGCTATTTAATAAATTTATTTTGCACATCGGAACTGAATCAAAATAAATATTTCATACAACTGTGAATATGAATTGGCTTCATAACAATTACATCACATTGTTCAAAACTCCCCTCTTATTATTACACATTTAATTTGGATTTAATGCTATTACTAAAAAAATATTGTGCATACTAAGACATTCATATGAATTCTACGGCAGAAAAATACATTTCAGTTTTTCAATGTCAAACAGTGATGGCTTTACTTTGGAGTTTCATTTCTACAGTTAATGCAAACTCTACAGACATCTTTTAATATGGCTAGACAAATATCTAGACTGCTCCACGACTAATAAATATGAAGACAAAGCTACAATACAAGCAGCATGATAAACATGTATGCAAGGGGCAGGGTTCAATGCAAAATGAGAAAAGTTTGAACGAATAGAGTGTTTCTGTAACGTTTAGTACTACCAGTTGGGTGGGTTTCACAGATTTCATTTTTATCACACAGTATAGCGACTTGACCCTGTCATTTATACATTCCATCATACATAGATCAATTTCACGTCTCGTCTCAATTGCATTTGAGTTGTGTATTTAATTTCTTTCCATTCTGTTTGCATCACATAGATGGGATAGTGGCGATTTAAGCTTGCATAGGGATACACAAATATTGCCGCCTGACAGGTCTAAGGCCACCCAAGTCTTCCAGATCACTTCTTTGAAATAAATTATCAACAATTAAATTCCCGGGGTTGAGCCAGTCTGTTCTATCCAAAGGATTCAGGGGTAAAATATGTAATGAATATGTTCAAAGTAAGTACAACAGATGAATCAATAATGAATACAATAAATGCAGACGAATGGTTGGCCCACTTGTTTAAACTAATCTTGATAAATGTTATATTGTCCAATGACTTTGCAGCTTCTCATCTGATAAGCAAACACGTTGCTGACGGTGAATATTGTTCTGTATAGGAGCATTTCTCAAAACTTTCCCCAAGTGCACGAAGAATTGGTCTAGCAACTAGAAAAGTAAAGTGAACATCACTTTGTAGTTCGAACATACAACGGATCTGGTCGGCACTAGCAATCTGGTTACTATGGTTACCAGAAACGAACCATTTATTTCATACGACATAATTTTCATACACTACATTACTAAATTATACATAAAACCAGTTATTAAATAAAATACCTATCTACAACAAAACTGTCTTGACACTGGTTATAAATGCGGCATACGGATTTTGCCAGTAAAAGAAAATCTAAATTTGGCAGCAGAAAACATTTCACAGGAATAGTTGCACTAATCCTTGTGAATGCCATAAAATTATTAATTCTACAATGCATCTGATTGGTTCAAAATAGTCACATGGTGTATTTTGCATATGTATCGTGCAGAATATTCAAAATAACTGCACGGTTGTATCGTATAAATTATCACATTCAAATGAAGCCCATCCAACCAAAAAACAGGTCAAGCAGATTTAAAGTAAACGAACTCTATACACCAACTATTCACAAATTGTACACACAAAAAATACCTTTTATACAATTGCAGACAGAAAGAAAACGAGTAGATGAGCAAAGTGAAAAATTGTAGAACAAAGATTATAAATTCTGACACAACACGCCAATAGTCAAATGTCAAAGTGATGAGATACAGTGAAGAGATTGGTCAAACTTAACAGATCTGGCACAGAATGGTAGGCACTGTACTCTCAAGGTAACTGGAAATACTAGTTACCCGTAACTTGGGAATCTGGTCCCTTGTATCGTTGGAATAACTAGTTATTTTTACCGGCTGTGCACGAGTCAGCAGCCCATCACAAAAGAGTTTGAAGGGCGAATCAAAAAGTTAGATGACCGTTTTAAGGGTCATCACAGACCATGCATGCCAAGGAATTGGCAGTACATTGTATTTTACAATGTGCATCACATTCCCGTAGACTAGATTGGGTTTACACGCATACATTTAATAATATAGAACAGATATGTCAAACATAATAGCGTTAACACCCAACTTGTATTAATGCTCAACTTTCTTGTGGCAAGCTCACCAAGAATATGCTTTTGATCAAATCGCAACCATATTTGCTCTATTAGAAGCACAACTCAAAAAAAGTGCAAGGCCAAAATACTGTTTTTTTTTTGTTTTTTTTTTTGTTTGTTAGTAGCATGAGAAAAAACTTACGATACTAGAGTAGAGCAATACAGGAAAACCGTCGATATTTGAGCAATCATCTGTTTGCTTCGGTTTTAAAAATCATATCACAAGTGCACGCATAGGTCAAATGGTGGCGTATTCAACATAGTATTTACATTAGTGCATACACTCGCCAATAGAGCAAATACGGTATTTGAACATTTATTTTTAAATACTAGATAATAAAAACTATTTTAATAGCGGTGACAGATTATGGAATCTAGTTTGCGCTATGCCATACCATACCATCTGATTACATCATGTTGATTGAAACTCGGATGCATATGAAAATAACGTTTTTTCAACAAGTAAAAAAAATATGTCAAAAAAGTTTGTATTTTTTTTAAATCTTTCCTGATGAACTAGGCCTCTTCTCTGTGAAAAAACTTCTTAAAATAAGAATTTGTCCTAGTGAAGTAACGAGGATCACCACTGCCTGGCCTACCGACCAGTATTGTATACGTTCATTCATGTGTTCCGCTCGCACACGGCTCTGTGCTTCTCGTAACCTAAAATGTGTTTGATAGTCTATGACAACTTTCAGTGCTTCATGTACTCCAACACAGGATGTCTCCATCTGAAAAAAATTAAATAAATAATTCAATAAATACATGATTGGAGAAATTATATTTTCATTTCAGAAATATACACACTTCCTACCATATTATTACAGTACCGTAAAATCTGTATTAGAAACCGCATCCCTAATAGAAGTTGCACCCATTCTTTGTGAACAATTGAGATCCAAAAATTCATCATTTGTCACAAGTGTAGATGCTCTAATAGAAGCCACATCACTTCTGTTGCTTTGCACCATTTTAATAGAAGCCGCTGCTTCTAATACAGATTTTACAGTAATATAGGAGAAGTTTTGCAACTTCCCTGTGGCGTGTAGTTGACTGGAACATTACATGTGTATAACGTTATATTATCATCAATGGACCCAAATGTTGGCCAATGAACACTTTCACAGTTACCACAGAAACACAAACACATTGACACCCAAACAAAATCAGCTGAGGCATCCCAGATAACTGACTCAGAGCAGATGCACGGAACAGTATTAAAAGATAGGAATGAGAAGCACTGTTACTACAAAGTGCCTACTATAATACGAACATGTACTAAATTAACTTAAGTTCGCAATTCTAGTTGTTGGATGACATCATCACTTACTGCATGCAGGGATCGAAATTAGCAAAATTTCAAAGGTTGGTGGTCACATGTTGTATTGGGTAGAAAGGTTGGTGGTCACATGTTGTATTGGGTAGAAAGGTTGGTGGTCACATGTTGTATTGGGTAGAAAGGTTGGTGGTCACATGTTGTATTGGGTAGAAAGGTTGGTGGTCACATGTTGTATTGGGTAGTCCATTGGTGGTCACATGTTGTATTGGGTAGTCCATTGGTGGTCACATGGTGTATTGGGTAGTCCATTGCTGGTCACATGTTGTATTGGGTAGTCCATTGGTGGTCACATGTTGTATTGGGTAGTCCATTGCTGGTCACATGTTGTATTGGGTAGTCCATTGCTGGTCACATGTTGTATTGGGTAGTCCATTGCTGGTCACATGTTGTATTGGGTAGTCCATTGCTGGTCACATGTTGTATTGGGTAGTCCATTGCTGGTCACATGTTGTATTGGGTAGTCCATTAGCCATGAACATTTTTTTTAATAAACTTTAATAGCTAAACAGAAACATAGGTTTATGTAAAATCAAATTGTAAATTGTACATTTTTTTTGTAAATTTCTATAGCTAATTTTGAAAATGACACAGTCCCTGTTAAGTTCTCTTTGTGCTTGTCATATTAAAGCAGAGGGGTTGTCGCGTGCGTGTCCTTGAAACTTGAGTTCCAAGTGGCGTATACAACAGATTGTTTATTTACATCAAAACATGTGTTCTGTGTAGTAGTAATATGGGCAAAAATAAAAACAGCCGTTATTCGGTCATCTTTGATCTGATTATGAAACACACTGATATGTATGATGTATGAGCCAAATACGAATGAAAATAGTACATAAATTGTGGAAATATAGTAGTAAGGCCAAAAAGTCAGATGGCTGTCAATCAAATTGTCATGGACATGCATCCTAACATGTATAAAGTACATGTATGTGCCAAATTTGAATGAAAACTGACAGAGCACTTCCAAGATACCGCATAAAAAAAAAACAAGATGCCTGCCAGTCGACCATCTTTGATCCAACTGCGAAATAAATCGTCATGGACATGTATTCTAACATGTATAATCTATGTACCAAGTTTGAATGACAACTGACAAAGCATGACCAAAATACAACATTTTCAAAAAACAAGATGGCTGCCAGTCTGCCATTTTGAATCGAATCGCTAAACCACTGCATGTGCATATGTCCCACATAAGGTACTAGACAAATGCAAAAAATGAACGGAATCGGTCTAGTGGATTCTGAAATATGACTCTGGACAGACTGACGCACTTCGTCCGAACGGGGACTAACAAGCAGACTTTCGGCCAACATAGCTCCGCTGATAGCAATGCACATTTCAATTCAAAGAAATCATCACAAAATAAGAAAAATCTAAGAGAGGTCCACCTGCAGTACCTATATGTACAATGTATAATATCAAAGCAATCAGACTTGCTATTTTTAACAAGTCAAGAATATTACATTTTTTCAAAAATTTTCAAAAATATTCACCAAAAGTAGGGAATTGTACATATAAACTAATTATCAAAGCAATATGGCTTGTAGCAGTTGGAAAAGTAAAAAGTTGATGCCGCCGATGGACAAGGACAGACAATCACTCATATGATAAGCTCCATTCGACAAAGTCAACAGTGAAACTAAAAAGTTGGTAGATTGGAGACTTATTTCGTCCAGTGAGAAGACAAGGCTAACAACATAATCCTCCCAGATAAAAGAGCTCGACAAATGTAAGAACACGCAATTTACAGTTTTTTACCCATAATCCTTTGCTTGAGAATCAAGATGGCTGACTACATAGTACTGATGAACGGTTGGATATCGAGAGAATGAAAAGTGTAAAAAAAAAAACTGTAAATTGCATTCTCCTACATTTGTGGAGCTTTTTCTTGAGGGGTCATTATGTTGTTTGGTTTGACTTTTCCTTTGAACAATGCACTTACCAATGTTAATGCAGTTGCATGTTTTCCCACTTCATTTGAAAGAAGATCGTCATCACCGACCATAAAATCAAAATACACAACTTTATGTGCAAAAGTTGAAAATTCATTACTAAAACAGAATTTATAAACTCCTTTTCTGTCTGTTTTCCAAGTAAAACTGTCATATTGTTTCTTGGTTTCTTTGTACAAAATGCCTCCTTGGGGAGATTCTACAATAGCATCTACATCATAACGACCACCTGTCACAACCTGGTAAAGAGAAGATAAGTAACCATCAGTTTATTTGAAGACAATGTTTAGCGTAGACTTGCATACAGTCTCTTGTTTATTTTTTCGGTGTTTTTTTAGTAAAATTAAATATGGGAGTGAATAAATGGTGAAAGCCGGATTACCACAAAATAAATAAACAAGGGTTCCCATGCTATTAATATTAATGAAAGTTTCAGTGACGTCACAGGATTTGATGGTTGGAGCATGCATACATACAAGTTTACATTCATTCAAGATGGCCAAAAACCGGGCAAACGATCGCAAGCACGCCAACAATGTTGATGACTGCATGACATTTTGTTGAATACTTGAGCAGAAAGGTGAAAAAAATGATGTCACAGTGTGCTGGCCTAGTACATGTTGAGATTGTCATCAATGATGTCACCAGTTGCAAGAACCAATCAAATTACTGGGATATATATTACATTGTTCAAGCTCTGTCATTTGTCAAGGTATAAACTGCAGTTGAGTCAAAGCATATTTTACAAGGAAGAATTTGATTGGTCAACAAACCTGTCAAAAGAACAGCCCTCCGATTGGTCTGACTTAGTTTTTAGGATTGGGTAAATCAAGACTCTTTCAAAATTTACGAAATCTTAAGATGATTTAGCAAAAATGACATTATGATGTGATTAGAAAATGTTTGCCATTCATTGTTTTTTTTTCAAAATTATCATATTTACTACCCCGCTGAAAAAAAAACAGCCTTATTACTCAGAAAAGCATTGATATGTAGGATATACATGTCTAAAAATTTGGTTAATATAATACATGCAAGTATGAATACTAGAGTGAAAATATTCTTCATTTATTAAGGATGTCTCAGTGAAAATATAATCCCGTGAATATACCTTAATTCCTATATTTTACATTCAACTTGTCAAAGATTGGTAAAAATAAATTCCATACAAAACACCCCAAATGCTCTTTTAGCAAAAAATTCACACCAGCTAAAACATCAATGATCAAACAAAAGACAGTGACCACCCCAATCAACCTCCAATACCTCTAATACCACCACGACCACCACAACAACCTTGGGTGCGAGAGATGTGTTGGAGGTTTACAATTCAAGGTAAATAAATAATATAGCAACTGATTTTGATAATACAGTATTTACTCTAATAGAAGTGCACAAAATGTAAGAGTAACACCTCAGTCATACAAGTGTATGCACTAGTAATAGTGTAAATATGGCACTGCCTTGTACATGTACCAGTAAATTGTGCACATGTACGTGTTGTTTTCCTTTGTACATATAATAATAAACACATTTACTAAGGTTTACACAGCATTTTATGAAACAGAACAACTACTACTACTACATGTGTTTGTCAATTAACAGAAGATTATCTCATTTTGTTTATTTGGTTTTGGCCGAAGTTGGTTCTGATTTAGAGCAGAGCTGGAAAAGCTCCCTTGACTGCGGTTTCTTATTTAGTCGGTCTGAGGTCATGTCAGGGGTCAGTCCTATTGGAGTTCAACCCGAGGGTTTATTTATAGCAAACTCGGCTCAAGCTTTCGAGTAAACAAATGCTGCTTGTATATTATATAACAACAATACTAATGATAATTCCACTGATAATTCAAAAGCACAAATTTTGGAGAGGCATATTAGCGAACTAGTAAACACAAACTGGGGACTGAATAACTGCTAGTACTAAAACTGATTGGCAGGTGTCTTGTCTCCATCTCAAAGGATGTTCAGTTTGTGCGTGCTGAGATCAGTATTCAGTGATTCATAAATGCTTGCTAAAAGTAAAAGTAAACTATTGTACACTAACAAGATCTAATCAGTGTGCGGTATTACACAAAAAAGACATTTTACCGTATTAATGGAATTTCCTACAATAGGGGTCTTGTGAACATAAAGAACTCCATGTTTATTTAAAATCCAAGTTGTCAATTAGACTATGTTGCTTTGTTAATTTCGTAGTATATCAGACTCACTGCAAGGATTTGATAAGTAAGCTATACAGAGCCTGGTACTAATTACTTGTGCATCTCAGTGATTCAGATGCTCACTGGACATCAGCAAATTTTTTTACAAAGCGTTCAGTTAAATTTGTTGTTGTACATGTACACCCAAAATATGGTGAATAATAAGAAAATGCCTCATGCCACATGTAGTTTTCATTTCCCCCGAGTTAATTTTGAGATGACTAAATCCTTGGTACATTTGTATCTACAATCCTATTCTAAGTGATAAGGACAACATGTACAATGTACAGGATATTTTTCACTATATTGAGTAAAAAGTCTAGGGGAAAAATTAAAAATGTATTGAAAGTGAAAAAAACATGGACAAGAAAGTGAAACAAGTATATTTTCGACTTGTGCCAGAGCGTTCAGGCAAGGATTTTGATACATGCTATTCAAAAGGCTCCAAGAGAATACCAGGGGTACATTCTGTGTTTTATTTCCATGTCCTCCAACATGAACAAAATCACAGGATCACAATTTAGACAACAATCTACAGTCATAACATCACAGAATTAATATAATTGTAATATCAAAAGACAAAGCAAAGATTGCCATTGAGTGTCTATCACTTTGTTCAATTAGTCTTTCCAATTTTTGAATCGACATGTTTGGGATAATGACACATGTACCTAAATCAGTCAGTTCGCCGTTCATTTTTGTCTGTATGTTTTTAGCATTTATACATACTTTTTTGTGTTACTCCAATCATTGTTGCATCTTTAGATCATATTTTTGCATTAACACATTGCCTGCGTACTCCTGACTGATTTTGGTATGTATGCACTGTTAGTCTGTATTAACGTTATATCTCTGTATAACATCCATTGGGTGCACAGTCTCAACGTATGACTTATAGTATTGTTAAAACTCAGCATTATGACAATTTACTGTAAATCCCTTTACTATAAATGCTACCACAATAATAGCATCTCCCATATAATATAGTACATTATATTTGGAACAATGCATAATTATGGATACCTTTTGATTGTGAATTTTAAGCAGGCATTGTTGTTCTTGTTCTAGGAGTTATGGGTTAATATTTGCCACATACACGTACCAGCAACTTAGTTAAGACTGTGTACACTATACACTATAATTTCACTACACAGAGCATCTAAATTTGCAGTTAGAACAGTCAGTCAGTCAGTCAGTCAGTTAGAATGAAATCTTATGCATGTTTAGCTGAATAAGGTATCACTTATCATAAGTAGAGCAGTTTTCCTGATATTTGCTTTATATGTAAGCTTTAATTTTTTAGGTGTGCGAATAAAACAGAAGAAGAAATACAGTATCCTCTGTGTTTTGGAGAAAACAGTACAATTGTTTAAATTTGATTATTCACCAGGTTTTAATTTTGTGCATTTAGCTATTGGAAAAATAAATGAAAATTAAATAATATTAACATCATGAATGTTATTATTTGAACACAGGGTTTGACGTTGACTCTAGTCTATATATTTACTACTGCCCATTGAAGCAAGCGAGTTACTATTCAGTTTTCCGAATGACAATTCTACTTGTTCTGGGCTCCAGAACTACTATTTGTGTCTAGACGTAGAGCAACATTTCCCTTCAATTTCATTCAATTTGCAAAATTTTATAATTCTCACAATGAAATATATATGTGGGGCAACAATATTCCATCAAGCCAGAAAAGATGAAACAATTACTCATGGGTGTGGGACTTGAGGCAGAAACATGAAGTACTTGTATTTTGTTCCTCTTGTAATGGATATAGTATCCTGAAATGTTTAATATGAAAACAGGTTTGAATTTTTATTTCATTTTTATTACTGGTAACTGTTACTTGTATTTCCAAACATTTCTGTTAGATAAACCCGATACAAAATATCCATCATGAGGCGAATATCTCATGTCCGGTGAGAAAACAGAGTGTGCAAACATTTAATTTGATTTTGAGAAAATGGTGAGTTGCTCAGCTCATGGAGGTAATGCTCAGCTAAATCATTGATGTGCTCACTGCTAAATTTGCCGAGACATGCGGGATAGTCCAGGAGTATGTTTGAATGAACATAAACAGTGCTCGACTGGTCATGCAGACTTGGGATATGGAGTAGTGATAAAAGATCTATTTGCGGAAATTCTAGAAAATGAATAACCTCTTCTGACATTACTATTGTATTGTAGTAATAGGGTATGCAAATCGAGGACGCTGCTGCAATCAAGACACTAAATCTGAACAGCTGTGTTGAACAATAATACGGCAATCGACACTGTGTCCGTCGTCACCAAGGACACGTAGCGCGACACGTGGTTCTCTTGGTGGAGTTGTACACACGTTGGAACAGGACAGACTTACCTGGAATTCTAATCTGACTTTGACACCTTCGTCTATTTCTTCGTGAAAACACTGTCTTGCATTGTCTGGCAACTCGAATGTCAGCTCGACTGCTCGCGAGAAGGCAAACGCAAGCAGCAGTACCAATAAACAAATACTGCAATTCCTAAGCATTGTCTACTACGTTTGCCCCGATCACGCAATACCAAAGAGCACAACTCGAATCATATACGATGATCAATCTCGTAAACCATTCACACGAATCAATTTCCACCGGTGTTTTCCATTCAAAATGGCGGTGAACGCAACGTGGCAGGTGAGAAAGATACCCGGATGTTGACCTCAAAGGTCATGACCTAAATTTGCTTGTTATAGGTCTCACTCTATGAATAATTCTGTGGTATTATGATTTTTTTCCGATTTCGATAAATGCTTGAATTTTTTACACGGTTATCGCATTTTTTTACTGACATGGGATAACTAGAACAGGCGGCGAAAACCCATAACATCATGGTGATTAGTATTTCGTTCGTTTTCACGGGTGAAAACTCATATCTCAGAGAACCAATGGTGGTATGTTTTTTTTGATTCTCAAAAGCGTTTGATATGACAAATCATTCAATAATAAAGTGTAGATATTGGTGAAAACGTGCTTTGTATTTCTCCTTTGTTTCAAATTATTTTGACGATTTCTTTGCCAGTGCTGCATACTAAGCCCAATTTTATTTAGTTTTTGCTTTCAAAGGTACAGGACACATGCTCATTACTTTTATGAGTATGGAGGAATCTAAATACTGTTGGAGATTTCGAATCATTTTGTATTTCTATAATGTTGACGGTGTTAGTATTTTTGGTTACTCTGTTTTAAGCAATTTAAAAAGTTGTGTATTCAAATTAATCTATGAAAATTGACAAAATGAAAAGTGTATCAACACAAGTAAAACTTGATTTTAGAGGTCGATTATTAAAAAAGGGAAGATGGTGGAATTTTTTCTTTAGTTTTTGGATTTTCGGAAACAATATTGCGGTGCTTTCCTCGGTCCGGTGTGTGCGAATTTGCTCATGATACAGGGAGTGCATGTTTAGAATAGACTTGGAACCCGACACCACCACCAGTCTACAGCGGTTTGACCAACTCGAAGATCCGGGTGCAGACTAGGCTCGACACTAAGTCTGACGTAATTTTGTGATGTTTGTTGTTTCTGGAGAGGGGACTAAAAGCCAGGTAAATTTAATTCAGTTTTAGAGGAATTGTACAAATTATTCTGTAATTTTTAACCAATTTCAAAATAGTATCACAGAATGTGACGATAAAAGTGATGTCTCCCTCTACCGAGAGAATGGTTAACTCATTCATTTGTGTGAATGTGCATGTGTGATAACACTTCCTCGTTCAAAATATGGATGGGGTAAAGGAATTTTTGCAAATATTGTATTTACATATTTGAGATACAATTAATATATAATTTGCCACATTTGGTGAATCATTGCTCATATTTTGTATACAATGTACCCACCCACATTAATTAACGAAATGAAACAATTGAAAGGTAAGATGGCAATTGGATTGATAAAATATATGGCCCGGATGATGAAAGTAATAAATTTAGAGAAGGTACCAACACAAATGAGAATCCCTCTTGAATGAATGCTCAACGAGACTGCATATTAAAAGGACAGTTAAGATGACATAAATTATTAGTTCCCAGAATATAACAGAGAATCAAACCTGTCCGAAGGGAACATTATTTCGTCTCCGAAGTATCTCCCAAACCAGTTATCGTAAAATTCATTAACATATAAATATAAAATTAAAACTAAACAACGCCGGAAGAAATTTGGTTACACGGATAAATTTCGAGTTTCAGAGGACTACCAAACCATTCGGACTAGGGATTCACTGTTCGATCAACAAGGTGCACTATACACTATATTATAAAAGATAAGTCTGAAATGCACTCCATGTCCTTGATACTTATAGTATATAGCAAGTGGTAGTTGGTAATTGTAGTTTCTGACAATTATTAAATATAACCATATGTTTTGAACATAGTTTTTTTTCTCAGCCGAAATTTCTAGAAGTTTCGGTTCTAGTAAATATAGACGTTACGGTCCAAAACAGGTTGTTCGTTACGACCCTGGTATACGTCAGTGATCATATCTCGTGTTAACGCATAACGAACGTTTGGCTTTGTTGTTCACCTCATATCGCTTTGTTTGTCTTTTGTAGGACATTTTTTCAGACTTCATGGAATTAACACTTATATTTTAGTACAATGCAAGAGTCGCACATACGAATGTAATTTATATCAGTGCCAATATGTTTAGGGTCGTAACGTCTTTTATTCACCAGGCCCGAAACGCCCAGCAACCGTGCTTGAACGATGCTTGAAATCCAATTAATCACAACCGAATCACCGGAACTGCTCGGAAAAGTTTGGCTATTGGCAAGAAACTTCTGATGCGGATATCCTGGGAATAAATGGGCAAAGTTCAATTTTTTTAGTTGATGAAATTGTACAATTATTCAATATACGGTCAGGAATACTTGTAATGTCGCCCTCTACAGGACGACTGGTAAACTCGTTCGTTTTTGTGTAGGACTGTCGAGACATTGCAGGAGAAACCAGTTCATACCAGTAATCTATACTAATAAAAAATCAAATACGACGAATTGAAAACAAAAATACTATTATGATTGTATCAACACTCATTCTAAGCTCAACTTTGTAGCGTATATCTAAATCCCGGGGGAGGGGGGGTACTTGCAAAAAATACTGACAGGGATGTGTAGCTGGTTGTTTGAAACCCCTACCCCTTATCAGACAAAAATAAACTCAAATTGCCTACTCCTTTTCAGACAAACTGTGGATATTTGACAGCCCTTTCCAGACAGTAAGCATACAAGTTACCAAGGGAAAAGCAGGTGGACTCCCGGGGATGGACTTCAGGGACTTCGACTATTGAAATGAAGTTACAGAAAGAGAAAATCAGCTTCATTCTCCCGATTGTTGGAACACTTAAGCTCTAGAGACAGTCTTTGGAATATATGGCCCCCTTTTCAGACAGAAATAATGAAAAAGGATACCCCTTTTCAGACAGACAGGGTAAAATAACATACCCCTTTTCAGATAAAAATGGTGAAATGGTGAGTAACCCCCCCCCCCCCCCCCGATCTAAATACTGATTACAGGTGTTTGTGTTCGACCGGGCCTGGTTGACGCCAGGATAGCGCATTACAAATTGCCATTTGACAGAGAGATGGCCATACAGCCCTGTCATGTAGTCCCAAACATGAATATGACTTCTGTGGCAAAATGCACTATGTGTCGTCACTAGCACTTGCAATTTGCACATACAGAAAAAAAAATAATTGATTACATCGAATAATTTAATTTCATGTCAATACAAGGTGAAAGGTGAATAAATTAATAACCCATGCTATATTGATATTGCAGAGAAAGTCACCATGTCAAATTTCCTATCAACACCCCTATACTAACTGGTTACTAAATCACAGGGGGCAAAAATTGGGCACTCAAATTTGAAAACCAACGCTGGATGGTACTGTAAACCCTAAAATATTGTTAGCGCTAATTTTTACCAAATCTACCTCCCCTAGTGTTTTTAATGGTGAAGTTGCGTAAACTGCTAGCCTATTCAAGATACCTGTTTTTTTTTAAAAGCATATGATTTATTCAAAACAGAAAAGCTGCAATGACAACTACAATAAGTTGACACAATGACACATTCTCGTGATACACAGCTGTTGTAATAAAGAGACAAAAAAACAGGAATAAATTATTTATTTAGTACAATCGTACCTGTGCACATCACCGAAATACAAGCATTGTCAATTGCCAAAGTGAGACAAAATACATAGCATTGGATTTTATAATCCAAAAATAATAAATGTATGCCATTTCAATATTTACAATGTAATTACTTAATTAACATATATAGGCAGCCTGATCGACCATCACATTGAAATGTACATTATCCTAGCATTTTTAAAATTGGGAATCCATCAGTTGTTTGTATAGCAGTCATTGCTTGATATTAGTAAAAGACACCTGTTTTATAAAACAGATTGGTTTAACATCGATTTGTAAATAATGTATAAATTTGGTGTTAATCTCTAATTGTTTATTGTTACCGGTAATTTAGAACAATGGTAGCCCTACGACAAGATTTTAGCTATAATCCAGTTTGAGCTCTGTCATGCAGATGATGGTCATGCATATTTTAGTCATATGATATGTAAATTTTACTAACTAACAACTTCAAGAAATTTTTAGGATTTGTGAATTAATTATATCCCAGTATAATTTTTTGCAATATTTATGCATTTTTCATTGTTTTTTTGGATCAAATAGATTTCATTTTCATTTGCCTGCAGATTGTGGACAAAACAGTAATTATGTAGTTTTATTTTGTGAATGGCATCAAGAATTGACTTTTTGCACTCAAAGCGTGCACATCACACATTCAAATTTCATAGAAATGAACAATGCATTAAAGACATGTTTTGTGCATCTAAACATGTCAAGCACAATAATGCGTTGTGACATCTGTGGTTTGATACCATGTAAAACAACATACAGGTTATTTATTTATTTCTACAACTTGTATGTGATATAATGAACTATCATAAAACAGATTAAATAAACAAATTGACATAGATATAGCCACATTATGCAGAACATGATGAATAGTTCTATAGGGCACCCTGATTACTTCTAATAGTACTATTTACAATGATCGAAGCAGATTAAACTTTACAATCTGCAAAAAATAACAGAACCGTAAAAACTGTATTAGAAGCGGTATTCCTAATAAAAGTCGCACCCATTCTTTTTAAACAATTGAGAACCAAAAATTCATCATTTCTCATATGTGTAGATGCTCTAATAGAAGCCGCATCTGTTGCATTGTACCATTTTAATAGTAGCCGCGGTTTCTAATACAGATTTTACAGTACTACACAGAACAAAATTT